TGTTTATCTGTAGAAAGCAGCATCAGTCTAATCCCTGGATCATCATTAGACTGGATGGTTTTAACAAGACCACAACACAACGCCTCTTCATTTGTACAGATGATGGAAACCTGTTGCAGCGGCGGTGAACTTTAATCCATGCATTTATACAATTCAATTAAATTCAGTTTATTTATAAAGCACCAAATCACAACAAAGTTGTCTCAGGGCACTTTACAGAAACATTCACATACATAAAAGCCAATTAGTAAAGTTCTCTATCTATGGAATCTAGCAGACAAGTTGAATCTTGGCTTCGTTGCAGTCTCCCATCCACATTTACTAAAGTGAGAACCCTGTTTCTGAGAGGAAAATTAAACATTGGACTTTTTTATTTTGCTCACATTCATTAAGTCCACAGAGCAGAAACAGGTTTATTAGAGCGGTCTTTGTTTGGACTGATCTCTAAAGGTACAGTCACTGTGAACAGAAGGAATCCTTAGTACTACTTTGTTCTACTACTAACCACTTCTACATCTATCCGGATGAGAAGTGAAACGTCTTCTGTTACAAATAAAGTCCAGTTGTTTGTGTCTTGAACTTTATTGAATTTATCATGTCCTAGATGACTATCTTCACCAGCAAACCACTTCTACATATCTGCTAAATAACTTTAATTGTAAGAAAGAGCTTCCAGATGACTGGACTAAAACAGCAACAGTGATTAGAGACACTACACAATATATTATAAATTTATTGTAATATCAGCACGGTAAAGGACTGCAGTGAATCATAGGTTATTATACTTCAGGTTGTATGTGTTCATGTTCTGCTGCTAAGAATATGTGTGGTTAATTCAACAGACTGGCCTTGAAGACAGAAGAGGCCGCTGGTATTAGAAGATAAACTTACTGCACATTGTAAACTGTTCTGATATTGTGCCGCCCTACTTATAAGTTTTCCTATAAAAATATCAACTTTTCTAACCTTTGCCATTTTTTAACATACTAAACAAAAACATGAAAAAAAGATTTAACTTTGATTTATTTTTAGTGTGTTCTTATAAACACAGGAGTTGAAGCTGCTTTGCTTTTTGGACAAAGATGTAATTCAGTGCAAACTTTATTAAGTTTGATAAAAGCTGCTTGTGCTCTGAACTTTCAGAGTCAAATCTAAGTAATGTTCCCTAACCTTTAGGTAGCGCCTCCATTACTCCTGTTTCAGTTCAGGCAGGAAACGTACGCCAACATACCTGCTGAGAGCTGGAGACAGCCTTGCAGTCTGGAGTCACACTGTTTTTTGTTCTGGCAGAAGGTTTGGGAACAAAACCCATACCAGGCTTCTCACTGGGAATGTTGGCATGGCTTAGGTCATCCTCCCAGGATTCAATGGTGGCAGCCAGGTTGGCCAGTCTGCCTCTCCGGCCAACAGGAGTTTTTGAAGACGTGGCAGGAGGTGGTTGGGCATCAGCCAGTCTCTTCAACATGGACAGCGGCGCACAGTCTGCTACAGGACCAGAAGCACCTGAAAATGTAACGAGTTAAAACATTTAGAGGATTGAGACCTTTGAATAGAACTGTACTCAACACAAGCTACGGTTTGGAGTCCCCAAACTACAGTATCTGTAATGCACAAGTGGGACGTCCCAGGTCCCAGGTAGAGCAGCAGTGTCAGAAATCTGCAGTAACCTCTCTCTTCCACAGGTAAAATAACAGAACTGTTCAGTCATGCTTGTGTCATGTATGTGTTATCAAACAGCTCATGGAGCACAGCAGCCAACTTAAATCATACTGAACTTTTACAATTAAAGCACATAAAACATCAACAATGAGCTGATCATGTGACTGTTATCAGTTAGTTTGCCTGTGTGTGAAGCTTCACCCTCTGCTAATCATCATGTTGAACACATGGACATGTGTTTACCGTCACTATCCCAACATTTCCTCTCCTCTGCTAACTTCTGAAAGCGGGACTTCATGTCAGCAGCAGAAGGAGCTAGATGGTCCCCAGCGTCCTCCTTATTCGTCTGCAGGGTGGAACCAGCAGGTGCATCTCTACAGCTTGGACCATCAGGACGAGGAGCGACTGCCATCTTCTCCGGCTCTGACCTCACTGTGTTCAGCTCAACATCAGGCTGCGGTGATGTTTTCTTTACAGGCGAGGACTGCTGAATGCTGGCTGGACCAACTGGGGGGATTCTGTCTGTGGAAGCATCTGGAAGCACAGGAACTAGAGTTTGGGTCTTCACAGGCTCCTGGTTCTCTTCGTCTGCTGCAGGCTGCTGGTTCTCCTCTGAGCATCTACGCTTTGAAGGAGAAGGCTTGGAGGACAGCTGTGGAGCTGAAAAACAGACAGAAAACATGAGCAATCCCAAAATCCTCTGAGCGTAAGGCAGAATACGCAGTCCAACAAACACGGTGTTACTTTTCTCCTTGACGGAGTCCCTGAGTGCACAGTTTGTGTTCATCAGAGGCTCCCTGGCTCTTTTCACCATCTGTCTGTTTGATGCATTTGGTCTCTCTGCCAGTTTTTTCTGCAGGTTTTCTCTGCGAGCTCTGGTCCGCTCCAGCAGTTTCTGGAACCAAAAACAGGATAAACATTTAACTTCAGTCAGAAATCCAGCGCTGCCCCCACCTCAACACTGTCATCACCCCAACATTGCCTTATAACATAGAACTAGAACAATAATTATTTAAACAAAAGTCCATTTAACAACCTTTTGAAGAAATTGAATACTTTAAAAATTGTTTTCTATCTGCTGTCAGTCAACAGAAAACTGAAAACACACATAGCACACACAACCCATCATTTCACACTGTACACGTCTATGGGTTCAAATGACAGTTTCAAAGTATAATATAAATATATACCATCATATAAATGAGTTACTAAATAATTGCATAATTCATTTGAAGTTGTGCTTACCACTGTGTTCAATACATGATAAGGTTAGAGTTTAATTAAATAAACACTTAACTTTTTTATTTTATTTATTTTTAATTTTATATTTTTAATTTAATCATTATTAGAACATTTTAATAATAATTCTTAAGATTAGAGGGTTCCCATCATTTGATGAAAACAAAACTCGCTGAGTAAATCCTGAAGTTCTAGGAGATATTCCAGTCACACAAAACGCTCAGGATACAGCTCCTTTCTCTCTGATCAAGACACTCAGAGCTCTTTACAACACAATCTGTGCCTCATTTACCCATTCATACAGCACTCTACAGTGTCTTGCCCAGGGACACTTCAACATGTGACTGCTGGTGGAATTGAACCCCCAACTCTTGCACTGGAGGACGACTGCTGTCACTACTCAGCCACAGCCGCTCCCTGCTGTAGCCTACAGTGCAAACAGCAATCAATCAAAACTAATAATTATAGTTTCTTTAATCTGCTCCCTTCTTCAGGGGTTGCCACATCGAACCAACTTGCCTGAAAGATTCAGCAATTGTTTTACACCAGATGCCCTTCGTGATGAAACCTGAGCTCGAACCCGCAACCTCAGGATTACAAGACCACGGCACTGACCACCAAGCTATCGCAGACCATTACTAATAAATAATTAGATATTAAAAAGCCTCCAGAGCCAGTCAGTAAGGACACATGTACTTTGTAGAAGCAGAACGTGGACCCAATGATACTAGAATACCAACATTAATAAACGAACACGTTAAAATCTCAGAAAGATCATCTTTTAATCATCAGATCTGTGTTTAAATTCCCTGAGTTTTCCCTTGTTTATTTATTTTTTCTCAAATTCACTGAGTTTTTGTTTTTTTATCCAGTCTGTGGGAACCTGGAATGAGCTTTGCAGCTTGCGACTCATACAAGATCAGATCCCATTTAGGTTGCGGTTGATCCAAAACGGATAAAAAGCTTCAAATATTCCTAGAAAAACTACAATGAGTACAGCAGCATCTCCTCCAGCAGGCGCTGGGTTTTCTCCTCCTGACTTTGAAAGATGAGCTGGAAACACTGGCGTCAGCCTAAAGGAGCTGCTGGGCCCTCCCTGTTCTCAGGGTTTAATGTTAGGAAGGAAAGAAACCACAGTTCTCACATTGACCGACAGGTTCTGTTCCCTGTGAGCTGATGGGACCGAGGTTATGAACACACATGGTTTAAAAAGCTACACCGACTTTTTTTATAATCTCCATTTGTTTCCTGAGGAAACAGCCCGATGACACGCTGTCATTCTTCTTTATTAACGAGAAGACCTAACATAAAACAGCATCATGTAACTTGTGTAAAGATACTCGATGTGACGTTTCAGCTATTGTTTTAAGTCCTTTAGCTTTAGCAACAGCTAACGCTAAGCAGCTACACTATTTTCAGCGTGAAATGTTAACTCACCTCAGTAAACGGGTCCATCTTTAGCAGTCTGCACGCGACAGTACTTTATAACCCAAAGTATTTTAAAGAAAGTCGTGTACACTGCCTGTGTGTACAGAAATAGGGCGGACAGCTGAGGAGCTCCGAGCTTCTCTCGTCTTCTCTCGGAACAAAACAACTTCTGATCCGTTCAAAAACTTCAAATTTGAATTCCATCGCTGGGAGCTACTGCGCAGGCTCCAACTGTTAGGCGAAGCCTGTAAGGACCAATCAGAATCGAGAAACAAGGAGCATTACGGTTTTAGTAACCAATCACAGCCTAGATATGTGGAAGGGGGCGGAACTTTTAACAAGTAAGCGTCTAACATTTGAAATGAGTAAGTCATCTCTGAACGGTTATAACGTGTGCACATGTGGGCTGAGCTGAATGAAAGAACGTGTTTATTACAGCAAAATGCATATTTATTCTAGTTGTCTGAAGTAATGCTGTTTATCACATGAAGGCGAAAAACCAATAATATATTTACATGTGTAGATAGAAACTGGCATGCACACAGACATATATAACCTGAGGAGTTCCTGAGCATGTTCCGTAATCCAAGTAGAAAAATCTAACAAGTTAAGTCAGGTCCTCTGGATGGATTCTTCTTGGTGAAACATTTCATCTTATCCAAAAGACTTCTTCGGTCTGAGGAGCTGCAACAAACAACACCTTCTCATAGTGGATCAACCAGTTTGCTGCTGATATCCAGAAACTAGCTGTTCACATGACAAAGGAGGACCATCTGAATCTGTAGAAACTAATCAGTGGTTTATCACATTCATACGCCGATGGGACACACATCGGAGGCAATGAGGGATTCAGTGTCTTGCCCAGGGACACTTTGGCATATGACTGCTGCTGGAATTGAACCCCCAGCTCTTGCATTGGAGGACAACTGCACTATAACCACTCAGCCACAGCTGCCCGTAAAAAGTACTGTAAGTTAATAAGATTATTTATGTCCTGTGCTCCAGCATCAACGTGTGGCATGGAGGCTGCGCAGCTGCAGAAAAGAAAGCTTTGCAGAGAGTGGTGAAGGCTGCACAGAAGACTGTTGGAGTCAGTCTCCCCGCCATCACAGACATCTACACCTCCAGATGCAGGAAGAGCGCCACCTGCATCATGAAGGACCCCACTCACCCAGCACACACACTTTTTGCCCCGCTCCCCTCAGGAAGGATGTTGAGGAGCATTAAGTGTAGACCCACTAGACTGAGGAACAGCTTCTACCCTGAGGCTGTTAGACTCATGAATCTCTAACCAGAATAATCACTGTGAGAGAAAAAAAATCACTGTAATGCCACTTGATTGTTGATATGTGCTGCTGATTATCCATGCTGCTGATCTCATGCAATTGATTTATTTCATGCTACTGTCTTCATTAGTCCTCATCTGCTCACACAGACTCATGTTCGTGCTTCTGTTGTTCGGTGTATTGTTTTTGTTCTATTAGTGTTTAGTGTATTCTTAGTTTGCAATATTTCTTAGTTCATATCTTAGATCTTATTACAGTTTTTCTTTACCCTGATGCATGCTCAATAATCCAAGTAGAAAAATCTAAAAAAGTTAAATCTGGTCCTCTGGACATTCAAAAAAACAAAACAAAGCAAAACAACAAAAAAAAATGTAAAAAATGTTTCATCTCTCATCCGAGAGACTTCCTCAGTCTGAGGTGCTGTATTCAGCTCAGTCTCTTAAATAGCACCTTCTCAGAGTGGATCAACCAGTTTTGCTGCTGACAACCAAAACCAGCTGATCACATGCTCAAGAAGGACCATCAGCCTAACAATGGATCATTAGCACACTGATGGTTGTTTACTATTCACAGAGGGCTGAGTGATACTAGCAATCACAGCATTGTAAGAGGGGGACAATTGAACACGTAGGCCTCCACCCCTGTTTAACGATGGACAATTTCTTTTCACAAAGATGGCCTCCTTTACTCCGCTCTCAAA